AAACAACACTCAGTCCAGCAGGTAAACAACATAAACAACACTCAGTCCAGCAGGTAAACAACACTCAGTCCAGCAGGTAAACAACATAAACAACACTCAGTCCAGCAGGTAAACAACAACATAAACAACACTCAGTCCAGCAGGTAAACAACATAAACAACACTCAGTCCAGCAGGTAAACAACAACATAAACAACACTCAGTCCAGCAGGTAAACAACAACATAAACAACACTCAGTTCAGCAGGTAAACAACAACAACATGACCCTGGGTTGTTTGTTTGTAAACATGGAGGAGTCAGACAGAGGTCAGTTTCACAGTTCTGCAGCTGGATCACATGACCTGACAGGAAGTGGAAACCGGAAGTGATGTTTGATGTTTCCTGTGAACATGGATGGAAAGTAAAAATGAAGAACAAATAAATCAAACTTTCATCAGGAAATAAAACTAAAAGTCACTGTTTTCTATTTTCTCTGGTGTTTTGATTTTATTCTAAAATAAAGTCTAACAGAAGTATAATTAATGTTTTTATAAGTTCATCTGGACAGAAAAATCCTCATCAGCAGTTTTATTTAAATGAGCTGATAGCAGAAGCCCCGCCCCCAGCACGAGACACGCCCCTTTATGTGATTAATTCCCAGATGGAAACTTTTATTTTGTAAATAAATGTTTCTAAACATTAAGACAGGTCAGTCCTCTCACCGGAACCAGAAGTTAACTGAACTCAAACTTTAATTAATGAAGAAGAAAGAACTCTGATCTGGTCCCGTCAGGACCCGGACCCAGCTGTGGACCCGGACCCAGCTGTGGACCCGGACCCAGCTGTGGACCCGCCCCTGGTCAAACCGAAACTTCTGCACAGAAAACTCCATTTTGTTCCGAAATCCACCAGAGACGTTCTGCTGCTCCTGGAACCAGACCGGAACCGAACCCGACCCGTCAGCATGGCTTTCGCCCAGTCTCCCTTCTACAACCCGGTAAGGTGCCAGAACCAGAACCAGAACCAGCTGCAGGTCCGTTAGAACCGGACCCTCTACTGATCCGGATCAAGGTTAAACCGGTTTGTTCTGATCCGAACCAAATAGTTTTAAGTTTTCGAACCGGATGCTTTGGTTAGATTCGGATGTAACGGTTCTGTTCTGACTGGACGGAACCGAACTTTTATCAGTGACAAAACTGTCTAACAGAACTTTAAGATTAAATACAGTTTTATTATAAAATAAAAACAATAAAAAGTCTGTTCTGTCAGAGCTGAGGTCTGACCCAGCAGCGGTCCAACAGAACCGAACCTACAAAGCACAGGTGAGTCCAGGAGCGCTGCCTGTCGGAGCGGCCGCCATCTTGGATGGGTGCCTGTGAGGTCTCAGTGCGTTAATTTATCCTGAGTTTATCCAAATAAAACAGGTAACTCCAGGTTGTTTCACTCTGTTAGTGTGTTACAAACACAAGGTGGAGTTGTGTTGTTACACACAGTCACACAATATCAGCTTCCATGGTTTGATTCTCTTCAACTGTCTTTATTGTCCCTCAGTGGATATATTATTATTATTATTATTATTATTATTATTATCATCATCATTATTATTATC